CCTCACTCAAAGATGAGTGTCAGACAGCCAACCTACCAGGAAATACAGCTACATGCACACACTGATCCTAGCTGGGAGACATTAGAAATACAAGGTCTAGAAACAGAAATGAAGGCAATCCCTGAGCACACATGGACATGAACATGCACATATCTGCTCTACACACCATGTATGAGGTATGGGGGACAATTCAGAAGAATGTTCTCACCTCGCTGGTAACTGCCAGGCAAATTTCACGAAGTCTACAAAGCAAGACTTCTGAATGGGACCCAGCCAGCTGTCCGATGCTGGAGAGCGCCTTCTCCTTCAGCTCCCTGAAAGGCAAGTACCAAAAAGATTGGTTTTTCTCTCCACCCAAGAACTAGGCAGCACCCTCTGAAATGAACAGGCTGGCAGCTCAGGGGCACCTCAGTGGGAGGTGCTTTTCAAGGAGCACTTAAGCGAATTGTGCAACTTGTTGCCACAGGATGCTGTGGCTGTCAAAAACATACACAAATCCAAGAGGCAAATAGAGGGTTTTTCTCAGAGTCTTCATTTGTGGCCGTTTTACTGTGGATGCTAAATCTGAACCAGAGTGCCTGTAGTTATTGCAGGCCACATAGCTCTCAGGCCTGACTGAAGCCTAGCCTGGGAAATTCATGAGAAGGAATTAAAACAATTCTCAGAGATACTAAACAGCCTTGCAGGTGTTGTTTTGCAACCTGTTGTTTCTCCTTGCAGGAAAGAGTCAGGGGGGGCAAAGTGCCCCTGACCAATAATAGTGATGTAGTACTTTGTTAACCAATAAGAGTTTCCTTTCTGTACTTTTCCACGTATCTGTCTATAAGACAGAGCTGAAGCAATAAACTAGGATTTCTCCTGTGACTCCCTTGAGAGTCCATTGTCGTTCTTCCTAGCCGTTCCCAATCGGAACGACAGTTTTACAAGACAGCCTTTCTGAAACCTCTGGCCCATGAAGTTCCTCTGTCACTGCTTCCTAGAAGCTGTGAGACCAGACCAAGTTGCTGTTTCCTGTCACCTCCCTGTTCCTGTCCCTGAGACACAGTCCCATCGGGCTGTTCCTTGGGGCATTTTCCTTCTTTACCAGCCCCAGCAGGCAGTTCAGCAGTAAGAGACTGCACTGGCACTCTGGAGCTGACTTTCCACTCTGCAATCTACGCCTGTCTGTCACCCACTCCACTCCTCCTCCACATTGCCCAGAAAAAAGCAGCAGCATGTCCCAGAAGACTCCACACCTGGGCAAGAACACTTGAAACTCTGGCAAAACCCCCTACCTAAAACAACCCCCATAACAGCAATGTGTTATTTAAAACGTGCAAACAACAACTCCATCTCTCAGCACCTCCTTTGTGCAGGCCCTCAGCTACAGCAAAGTTGGTGAGGCATCAGGGATGCAGCACAGGGCTGGTGATGATCCCACGGGCACCCCTGAGTGTCACCCAGACACCCCCACACCTGCAGATGCTCTCTGCACCTCACAGGGCACCAAAGAGAAATGGGGAAGAGAAAGCAGAAGAGAAAGGGAAAAGCAAAGGCGACTGCACATGGAGATGCATTGTAGCAGATTTTTCATGTTTATCCCAATGTGAATGGAGTCCTTATCCCCATGTGAATGAAGCATTCACCAGTGAGTGGATGCTAACACAGACATCAAAAAGACAATCAATACTGATAGTAAAAGGTTTTAAAATCATAGAAAATTTGGGGACTTAGAAAGAAACTTAGGCTTGGCACGCCCTGGGAAAAGTAGGTCCTGGGAATGGTCGGCCTTGTGCTTGCTAAAGATCATGTGAAACTGCACCTGTGTAATCAGTATATGATGAATGATACAATTGTTAGATGTGATTAGATATAATTATTGTTTAAAGAACATGAGAAACAATGTGAGGGGATTGAGAGGGGATCACGAGAAATTCCTGCTTGAGTAAAAACAATGGATACAATAGAACAATGTAAGTTTAATAATTAATATGTAAGTTATATAATGATAGAGTATAAAAACATGTTCAACTCGAAACCAAGGCGGGTCAGATTTGGGTATGAGTACCCCTGACACCCAGAGCTCTTCAATAAAGCACCTTCATATAATCATTCCATGATTCTGTGTTCCTGAACGCTAACAATACCAACTAACATTTGTCAGGTTAGCACCGCTGGGCCTCCTTCTGCCTGTGTCAAATTTTGGGACACGATGTGAGTTTTGACCAAGCATCTCAGGCCCATATGATGCAGTGAGAAGGAAAAAGTTGAAGGAAAAAGTTGAATTCCAAAAGTGCAAGATTCCTAGAGGATTATATTTCTTTTTCCTTCTCTTCTGCCATGAGCCCTTCTGCAGTAATGACAGGCTGAGGGACTTGAAAGCACAAGTCAGGCCATTTCTCAGAAAGAGGAACTCCCTGGAGCTGCCTGTGGCATTCACATGCAGGAGGTGCCAGGGAGACCCTGTCAGCTGCCATCGCTGTCAGCAGTGGGACCAGAGAGAAGAAACCTTACTCAGTCCCACTGGGCCAGTGCCCCAAGGCACCCAAATCTCTACACTCAAAAGTGCTGCCGTCCTGCTTCTGCCTTCAGCCAGCAAATCATCTTGTCCCACAGCTTTCTCTCTTCCCTCAAGATTTCCTTTGCAGCTCCATGAAGCAGCAGGCAAAGCCAGCAAAGAGCAGGGACCTGCTGCAGCTGGAGCACTGCTGCAGACCAAGGCCAAGGAAAGGCTGCTGTCAGATCTTTATCCTCCCACTGCTCTGCAGTGGTTTCACTGGTGCTCCTTGGCCCTCTGGGCTCTTGGGGCTCAGAGGCACTAGCAAGATCCACTTCTGAGCTACCTTAACGCTAAGAGGGAGACAGAGTGAACGGGGCCTTTCTTACCAGTCATCGCTGCCCAGCAAGGAGAGTGCCTTGAGCAAGGCCTGCTGTGGGTCACAAGAGGCTGTGTCCTTCTGCCTGTTCCCACGCAGCGGCTCCTCTCGACGCTTGGCACCAGTGGCCGTCTGCCAGGTCTCTGTAAGGACAGGGTCAGCCATGAGCGCTGCAGCCCCGGGCAAGGCACCCCGCCATGGAGCGGCCTGCAGCCCCACCTCCCAGCCAGGCTTCCATGTGGGACAAAGTGGCACTGGCTCAGACACTTCCCTGCTGCCTGGCTCCTTGGGCTGCTTGCTTTCTCCCAGCCCCCCCAGCTGGGCACAGCTCCAGGC